TAATCATTTCCGGTTCGGAGACATGTATGTATTTGTTCCCATGGTCGGACTCTGAGAACGGGCCGGCGATGTCGATGGCGATTCTCTCAAATGGACTACCCACGTTATACTAGCGCATTGGAGCTTTCGGTCATATCCTAGGTCCGTTACTGGCAGCGCATACAGCACACTTTCTGCACCAGTCCCGGACGTCGGCTTGACAATTAACCCAGTTAAACCGTTGCCTTACTTTCTGGAGGGTCTACGTTACCCCCAAATATTCTCCCGTGAATCCATCATGGATTTATTTGAACACCTACCGTCGTCTGTTCTTGGGAACCACGGTCTGACGCCTTTCTTCTTCACCATCTTCAGAATCCAACACTCGCTTCAGAACCCCGTTTCCCAAGGTAACCGCTGGCGAATAACCTGATACCTCTTGCCACGATGGTCTTTGATTATTTTTCTAAACCAAGATCTGGATCTTCCTCTTGGTCTTCCCTGATCATATTGTCCTTCCAGTTGTCGTCTACAGCTGTAGTTCTATAAATAGCTGCTTCCCTCTCTTCTGCTCGTCGGTAATGTGAGCAGCCATCGGGTGACAGGACATCTGCGTTTCTTACGGAGGCTTGCTGGATACAGGCTGACGATTTTTCCATCTCACGGAACCTCTCTAGTTTTCCTGATTTGGTGTTGGTTCTTTGAATGCTTGGACATTTGCTACGCACATGCCCAATTTTCTCACGGTTCCAGCATCTTATTTATTTTTTTTCAGTCAAAACTCCTTTTATCACCTTTCTAAAAGTGGCCTCAATATCAGCAGAACCTTTTCCGTCTTCCTCCATAGTTTGAACTTTGCAGGATTGTTTTACAGCCTCAAACTCCAGAGCTCTTGCCAGTGCGTCCATTGTGTTACATTGTGGTTGACCGACTATAAATCCTCAGACAATGTCCTTAGACAATGGTTCTAATTTGAAATCGAATTCACTAAATCAGAATCCTGTACCACTTTCCAAGCGAGTGAACGTTAGTTAATAACAATGAAAATAAGGGTAGTTTACTCTTGATCAAAATTTCTATTTTTGTTCTTCCCTGTACACCGTTCGGAAATTTTGGATTTTGACATCTCAAATCATCCAAGTTTCTCGCAATGCACCAATTTTTATCAGGTATAAAATTTTCTGACAAATGGATAATAAATAAGTTTCCCATATGATGCCAACTTTTTGAAAATCACTGTAGATGGTGATTACCATGATCTCAGTTTCTGTAAATATAGCAAAAATATCATTGTTCACATAGCTTTTGTACATTCAGAACAGATTTCCATGAAATTCATAGTTATCATTTTTGAATGAAAAGTAGTCTGGAGTTGAAATTAAAGCGTATTTTTTTCCGAAAACAAAACGTGTTGCTAGGCATTACATTACGAAGTCAGGTACCGCGATGCGTAAAATTAACCCCTACAAATTCAAATCAGTTTTTCTTCCTTATTCAGAGGAATCGGGCAAATTTCGGATATGCAGTTGATCAGTACCTCGTCCACTAGATGGAGTGACATTTTGTTGTTTCGATCCAACTTAGGAAGAGGAATGAAATACTCTGAAAGAATTACGATTTCCAATTATGGAGTATCATTGACTTTAGGTCGATGTTGGCCACTATCTTCCACTGATGAGTGGCTAATGAGCCCGAAACCAGTCTGCAAGTGTGCCCGTTCCAAAATTGAAGGTCGATTCTTTCAGTTTTATTGCCAATTGCATATGCAGGAGATTTTCTGTGTAGATTCCTGCACTGACGCCTGTCGGATATAATTCAACGGCCTTCGTAGTATTAGCCAGGGGAGTAGTTGTTTTCTGATAGGCGTCAGTCCATTCAACCTACTGTGTAGGTATATCCGGGACTGGCTTGAACGTTTAGAGTTCATTTCTTTGGATTTGTTCACTGCCAGTCCCCAATCATAGTCCACTGACTGATAGGAAAGCCCTATAAATTTGATATTTCAGGAACCTCAAGGCAAATACATCACCAGAATGATCAGAAACAGCAACACCACCGCAACTGACACGCTGGCCACCCATTGGACGCCCTGCAGGGGCCCAAGGAGGATCCCAAGGAGAAAGCTCAGATTTCCCTCAGCCAGGAGTTCTCGCTGGCAATAGTGGTCTTATCGGAATCTTCAATTTTTTCTTGGCATTTCAACGTAATAAAAAATGCAGTAATAATGAAAAAATGATGAGACTGAGTTATATATTCTTCTAGACGTGAATCGCGTTGTTCATAAATTGATTCAGTGTCACATATTTGCATAAGCTATGGCGAGCTGCTCTGTCCCTCTACTTGCAGATAATGTCTCCGTCAATTGTAGAACTAGCTCTCTTTCCTTTATTCAGATGTCCTCTAAACATGATTTTTAACATGAAATTTGTCTTATGTTTGTTCCTTTTAATGTACTGGAGTTTCAATTTTGTCCGATCTCCTGTAGTTCGATTACGATTTCAGTTTAAATTGGAACATCCAAGTTTTTTTTACACTGCCTAGTTTGTTAATAACGGTCAGTTCATCTCTAGTAGTCAAATAAAAAAAGCATAGGTTGCCATACGTTTCAGCATCCATATCTTAACTTAAATTTGACCAGCATCAATGTTTCCTCAACCTTTTTTATCCTGTCTCAAAGTGACTCCTGGTCAATTTGAAATTTGGTATAACTCCCAAATTATCAACCCTTCCCTAATAGTTTCATCTCTTCACATCAAAGTCTAAGAGGTTTTTCTCCCTTCATTACTTCTCTTGGTAAATGGTATTATGGTCAATTTATCGGGACAAATAGAAACCTTGGTGTAGTCATGAATATTACTAGAGGTTTATCCCAACACCTCGACAAGTGCTACAATCACCAGGTAATCATCTTCAAGAGAAAGATTAAATTGAGGAAGAGGAAGATTAAACTGAGGAAGAGGAATATTGAATTAGTGATCATCTTCAAGAGGAAGATTAAACTGAGGAGGAGGAAGATTAAATCAGTGATCATTTTCAAGACGAAGATTAAACTGAGGAAAAGGAAAATTGAACTGGGGAAGAGGAGTATTTTATCAGTAATAATCTTCAAGGTGAAGATTAAACTCAGGAGGCGGAAGATTGAACTGAAGAAGAGGAAGATTAAACTGAGGAAGAGGAATATCAAATCAGTGATTATCTTCAAGGTGAAGATTAAACTCAAGAGACGGAAGATTAACCTGATGAGAAGGTAGATTAAACTGAGGAAGACGTAGATCAAACTGGAGAAGAGGAATATTGAATTAGTGGGCGCTGTGCACAACATCATAAATCTATCAATTCCTCCACAGCCACTGGAGACATCATCAACAAGTCCATGACCAATCAAAACTCCTTCTCAAAGCAATGCAACCCTAAAACAACCCTTGACAAATTGAGTAACCAATCAATCCCTCACCCGTGAACAACTGTAGAACTAGCTCGGTGTAAGTCGTCGGAACGAAACTACGAAAGTTCGGCAGATGTCAACCAACAGCTGTCTCTTAACCTTGTTATTGAATGTTTACAAAAATATTGACTCCAACTCATTTTCAACTATTTACCGATCCTTATTCATGCCATGGAATAGAAATATATAAGGTAAGTCGCCACATCTTTCCCTTTCAGTACGAATATTTGAACATTCATATTATGCAGAATATTTACCGAAAATATGAAGCAGTATTCAGAAACCCAGAGCTAAGTAATATTGTTTTTCAGGCGATATGGCTCTCAACGTACTATCGCGGGCAGTCTAGGCCTGACGTACTAGACATCGCGCTTCTCAGAAATGTCTCTCTGACTAGCGAAATTTACGTTCTGTCGGAACTGGATTCCGATCATAATCCAGTAATCCTGGTACTGGGCGATGATCTTCCTCCCCCTGAGTATCGCGTGAGATCTAAGACGGACTGGGATGTCTTCACAGCCCAGCTCGAAGAGATGCGCGCCCCTCCTGAGGGACTCGATTCTCCCGACGAACTCGACGCGGCAGTTGAACGTTTCGAGCTTTCTGTGAATGATGCGTTTCGAGCGGCCACCTCCAGATAGGAGTGTCCGCTGAAGAGCTACAACGAGTTTTCCTCTCGTATCAAAGCCTTGATACGAGAGAGAAATCGCCTGAGAAGGCTCTATCAGCGAACCCTTTTCCCAGGGGACAAAACAGCGGCGAACAGGATGGCCAATCAAGTCAAACAGGCCATCATTGAACACCGAAACGAAAGGTGGGAAGAGCTCTTGGAATCCTTCGAAAATAATCCCCGTGAAGGATGGCACAAATACAACCATATATATCCTACAAATCAGTCTGATGGTACACTTGAACTCTCAACCAAGCTCAACGAAGGTCACCCCCGAAATCCGGGAGACTGTCACATCTGACAGCTAACCAGTTGTTGCCACAGTGCATCCAATCTACACTACAAGCACCAAGAGGGCGCTGTGCACAACATCATAAATCTATCAATTCCTCCACAGCCACTGGAGACATCATCCACAAGTCTATGACCCATCAAAACTCCTTCTCAAAGCAATGCAACCCTAAAACAACCCTTGACAATTTCAGTAACCAATTAATCCCTCACCCGTGAACAACTGTAGAACTAGTTCGGTGTAAATCGCCGGAACGACACTACGAAAGTTCGGCAGATGTCAACCAACAGCTGTCTCTTAACCTTGTTATTGAATGTTTCCAAAAATATTGACTCCAGCCCATTTTCAACTATTTACCGATCCTTATTCATGCCATGGAATAGAAACATGTAAGGTAAGTCACCACATCTTTCCCATTCAGTACGAATATTCGAACATTCATATTATGCAGAATATTTACCGAAAATATCAAACAGTATTCAGAAATCCAGAGCTAACTAATATTGTTTTTCAGGCGATATGGCTCTAATATACTTCTGGAAGTGATGAATAACAATCTATGCAAGAAATATTCTTGGGAAGGCAGTTTTGATCTAGTGTTAAATTGAAACGTAACACCACCAGACCTTAACCAACCAACGATTAACCCGCAACTGTACACAGACCACTCGCAACAACTCCACTAACGAAAACTCCACCCATATATGAGAACAGCAATGCCCAAGGAATAAGAGACTAATACAGGACAAAAGCAATGTATCCATCAAAACCAAACATATTCATGCAGCAGCAAGTATAATTAACACAGCCCCTGAAGAGGTACTAGCCTACAATTCGAGAGCGGAGTCGTCTCACGTTGAGGTGATGTGAACTGGCCACCGAGATCACGCGATTTGACCTCGTTAGACTTTTTCTTGTGGGGTTTTATTAAGTCGCAGGTGTATGCGAATAAGCCAAACAGCACAGCGTTCTTCAAAACCAGCATAACCCATGTCATTGGTCAAATTTCGCCTGATTTATGCGCCAGAGCCATGAAAGATTGGACGCGCTGGACGCGCTTTTCCCAAAGGAACCGTGGCGGACCCTTGAACGATGTTATATTCTATACATAGTGGCATCAATAGGTTTGTTTTATTTCAATTTGAAGATAGGAAAGGCTTGATGAAACACCCTATACTTCTTAGTATGTACCTGAACATTTACATTGGATCCATAATAGTCCCCATTTCCTAAAGTGACATAGGTATAAGCTGAGGTGATTCTGATGGCACCTGGTATCAATCCATAATTATTATTGAAGCTTGCTCCCACCTGACCAACATATACAGGGGTACCGTCAGTATCAACTCCTGCAGATACAGCATCAGGAGGAATGACACCGTCATACTTTCTCCAGTGATAATCCATGAAAGATGCATCTGAAAAATGAAGATAGTTTTTTATGTCTCCACAATCATCAATATCAATGATAAATTCATAAAATTTAGGGCTCACCTCCAGTTTCGTTAATGGTTGTAGCTACCACTATCCCTTTTTTTTGACCAACATATCCATCTAAGTTTCCATGAGCTATGAAAAATAATTAAAATTGAAGTTGATTTCCAAGTCAAATTTCCAAATTTGGAAATAAATGAAAGATAATAGTTTGAATTCTAGGTAATCAACAGATTGAACATCTCAAATATAATAATTAATAGCATTTAGCACTGGTAATTCATATTTGCCCAAAATATATTAGGAGTCATTGTGAATTTCTCAATGTACTTCTCATAATTGAATATGGCCGACAGTGAGTAGTGCATGAAAGGGTG